TAGCCAACTCTCTAATGTAGTATGAACTAGGGATTGGATCGTCTATCCTAGCCAACTCTCTAATGTAGTATGAACTAGGGATAGAATCGTCTATCCCTAGCCAACTCTCTAATGTAGTATGAACTAGGGATAGAATCGTCTGTCCTAGCCAACTCTCTAATGTAGTATGAACTAGGGATAGAATCGTCTATCCTAGCCAACTCTCTAATGTAGTATGAACTAGGGATAGAATCGTCTATCCCTAGCCAACTCTCTAATGTAGTATGAACTAGTGATAGAGTCGTCTATCCCTAGCCAACTCTCTAATGTAGTATGAACTAGTGATAGAGTCGTCTATCCCTAGCCAACTCTCTGTAATGTTGTATGAACTAGGGATAGAATTGTCTATCCCTAGCCAACTCTCTAGTTTGTAAGTACTGCATTAATGTAAATAGTTTTCAAGGGATAAACAACAATCCTTAGTTCGTCCTGCATCGAAGATCTGCCAGGGATAGACAACTCTGTCCCTTTTTGGAATCTTGTTTTGAGCATTTGGTTGGCCTGCAGGACTTTCTCCTCGATTGAGGAATATGCAAGGGCTGTGTTATAAGCAACTTATTTGCATTTTGCTTTGTGTGGGAAACTTTTATCAAAAATTAATGGTTTACCTTTGGACAAATTATCAACTTTCAGAATTATTTGAAAAGTATGCACTAAAAATGATAAGTTTCATCGTAGGAATCGACAAGAGAGATAACTGTGATCTTAACTGAATAAAAATGTTATTTGAAAACGAAATTGTTTGTTTGCGTGGTGATGTTGTGTTTTAGGGCTTCAATTCGGAAAAAAACATTCAAGCAACTGTGGATGGATTAAAATAAAATTTAGCAGTATCTGAAATGAATAATACACTGAGTTAGAGACGGACAGTGTACAAGGTTAATTTTGGTCTCAATTCAAATATGTAAAATGTGAAATGTTGCTAACAGCATATATAACTTTTTTCGTGTTCTTGAGGAAGTTGAGAATAGGATGCTTTGATTGCTCATTTTCACCTCATATTTCACAAAAAAATAATCTTTTAAAGCTCCAATTCTTTATAAAATCGAAATGTGAAAATTTGCAGTTAATTGTGAAGGTGTTCCTCACTTTTTTTCTGGAAATGGTGTACGTATAATAAGGCGCGATGTCCATCGGGACTGCATGCGCAGGTAACGTAGGCCGCTACTAACACTAAAATAGACTCTCCCGGCACTTTTACTGTTTAAAAGCATTTTCAGCTTGTACATGTACACAGGGCACAAGACACCTCATTTGTCTGGTTCCCAGATTTAAATGTGTAATATAGAAATAACGTCATCTGAAAAAGAGTGCCCAACTAAATGTATGGGTAACTACAGGGGCTCCTTTTCTGTACATATCACTCAACCGTGCCCCATCAAAAACACGTTAAAATTACGCACTAGCAGGATAAAAGTCGATTAAGCAAGTTTGGCAGCTTTTAGACTTCGTTTTATACCAAATAAATTTGTTTTATTTTGCCAGTGTGCAGGTCTACTGCCATGGGCTTGCTGACCAGAAACCGGATACTTTATAGCCCAACTGACCTACACATGGTCCCACCATTTTCCAAAATAAACCATGCTGTATTTGTTTTACTACACGGAATAAAATTACTCATGAGCAAATTGACGAAATAACATATTCTGTTATAAAATTACGTGCTTAGCAGCGCTGTTAAATCTGGATCTGGACAGTTTCTCTAAAAAAGCTCAACTTGAGCATCACTCAGAACGGAGCATGGAGGGGGTTGCTCATTCCAACTGAGGGTGACTTTGCAGCGCAATTTTAAAAGCTTTAATGTTGCCTATCGAAGTGATATGTTCTGGCAAGTCGTTCTGTTCCCTTGCCATCTTGGGAAAAAGGAATGAAGATTTGATTGTGACGTTGCCTGGTAAAATCAGGCGCAGAACGCTTGCTCGCACTAAGGGTGCGAATATTAATGAGCTCGCGCGCAGAAATACAACCATTTGGTGGAATACCAAATGGTTGTATTTCTGCGCGCGAGCTCATTAAAAATTTTGTGATCCCACGGGGTTTTTACAATAAGACTTTCCATAAGCAGGAAGCATCATAGAAATATTTCCATCAATCCCGAATTTGAGACTGATAGTCTCCAGTTCGATGTATTTCTTTCACAAAAATGTATGCTGCATTCTCTCTGCAAATAATGTGGCAAATATTTCAATGTTCTTTAAATAGGTGGCGCACTTCAAATTCATTGTAGGAACTGCGGCTTCACGACCAGCTGTATGAGGAAGTTTTGATGGCACTTTGGCGGAGTTCGGGCGGCTTGTTCTCGTTTGTGCACGAACAGCTCGATTTGTTGTTCATGGGTCGGTCGCTCGAACGCCGGGATTGTACAACGGGTTATTAACGCTGGTAGTTATTTGTGGCAAGCAACATGCAACATGGCAGCGTCTTTGTGCATTCTTCGGTAGTTAATGTTGGATAACTGGGCTAACTTCTTTTCCATTAGAAAAATTCTTTTCTGTCAAAACTTTCCGTTGTCGTCGGCTTTGTAAACCCATATTGGTACTTTTTGCGGCTGTTCAAAAATCAAATCTCACGAGCTTTCCCGTGTGTTCCTGTAAAACCCTGACGAAGAGGTGGTGTGTGAACCTGTTCCGAGAACAGTGTTCTTGGGTCTTGTTCCCGCCGTTCGAGCGCGAGCTAGTAAAATGGCTCTCGACTCAGGCAGGTGGACCCCAAAAGTAAAAGATCAACATCAAGCTCAGATATGGTTGTTTGCCCCTCATTTCCATTTAATTTAAATGCTCAATGTCCCTTTACTAACTTGCACGCGATAAAAATCCATTTTCTGCCAAAGTTTTGCCCGTGTTTGTCACGTACCTCCAAAGTAACAGAGCCAGACGTTGGAGGTGATGCCAACATTTTAAGAGAGGATTTTTAAGAAAGTGAAAGCGCTAAACCTTCTGAAAGGAACTACCACCTTTCTCGGAGGAGGGAGAAATCTTTTCGAATGAAAACAAAATGAGAAAATAGTTTGTAAAAAAAAGGAAATACCTTGACCCAAACTCCACGACTTATTTATCGGTCAATCGCCATATCGATCAACAGATCGAGCAACTTCTGATAGACAGACTGACCAACCTGCATGCTGAACATTTTTGTCAAATCCCGACCGATTGAAGAATCAGATATCAAGCAAAAATAATCACAATATGCGGCAAAGTTATATAGGCTCATATAATACGGTCAGTGTTAAGTAACGTAAAAGTTGAAGATTTATTCATATACAGTGTGTACAGAGGCAAATAACTAAAAATTTTACTTGTACATCAGAGAGGAATGTTGCCGCAACATTTGACGATCGGCACTTAAGTCATAATATTCATAAAAAGGAATATCTCATAAAATTTAAAATAAAATTTAAACTAAACAGGTGACTATGCAAAGTGCCAATTGGATGTGGACCAGTCGACATGTGGCATTAAACTTCTTGTTGGACATTTGGCCTACTGTTTACTATTCACTTTTATGTTAGGTCATTATATATTTCACACGGTGCTCCGATTTTCGAGTTCATATTATCTTAAAGCAACGTCCTTTACGTCTAGCACAATTTCTTTTACGTTTGAATTACCCCGATATAACGTGTTTGTATTGAAATGGCTGTCCAAATTAACGAATACTGCCTTTGTGAAGCAAGCACAAATAAAACCCCTCCACTTTATTCATAAAATTAGTAATCTCAATCCGCAATTTCGAATGGAAGAGATTAACTTTAGCCTACCAAGTACTACAGTACTATTAAAGTACAATGAATACAATATGGGCAATCTTTTCATCTTCGTCTGTTGAAAACGGCATTTTAACATTACGACTACTACAGCATTTAGGAGTAACGAAAATCCAGCTTATTTAAAAGAAAGCATATACCCATCTACATGTAATCGTCCACCACAATTGGGCTTTGAATTCACAAACAATGCATGTGACCTGTGACGTGTGGATTGAATAGTAAAATGTAAATGTGCACAATTGTCACAAATTATGACCTCGGGCTGTTGAGTTGTTCCTGGTGTCGACTCAATGCAAACAACAATCAAAGCGTAGGCCTACGGCATGAGAGATTTACGTGACAAAAGACTTGAACTTTAGTCAATGCTAGATTTATTTTCTATATGTTTTATTCTGTGAAATGTATTGCTATTACAGCTTCAAAAGGACTGCTAAAGACAGGCGAATGCATAGACTGAAGTCAAATTGGTTTGTACAGCTAACCCATTTCAGGAAATTGGCTGCAGATACTCATAACGCAAATGTATTTTTTTATGTCCAGTAAAACATTTGGACACTCTTCCAGCTAATACAGTTTACGAGTTTAGCTTCGAGAAAATTAAGAAGTGTTTTTGTAATAAATTTAAGGTTAGGGCTTACTTTGATAGTACAGTACTATAGTTCATATTCACCCAGAACTTGCTAATTGTATTGTGGAAATGCTACTGACATAAATAGGTTATAATGAAACCTAAATCGAAACTATTGAATGTTAGAATTTTCCAAAGCGCAAGGTACTCACTTTTAATTATATAATGATATTTTGGGGCTTTTTTTTTTTAGCAGCGGCGTGTTTGTTACTTTGTTCGTCTTTCTGTTAGGGTTCTTTATTGGGGGGGGGGTTGCCATAGGACATTTTATGTGTCATAGGATATTTTACCAGTTGATATGTACCCACGTAGGGCTGGTTTTTACTTACTTGCTGCACGCTGATCATTCACTAAACCTAAACAATTGCAAAGGTTGTTTTATTGTACTATACGACTGATATTTCATGGCGCATGGTTTCCCCTCCCCTTGCATGTTTTTCCACTTCAGATGGAGCATGTTTAAAGCAAACAGACTTGTCATCAAGCTGAACCCCAGTTCAAGTATCCAAAAAATGTGTTCAAGTTTAGCAATATTTAGGAAGAGTAAGCTTGCTTGCATTGGGACAAAATTCAAAAGAGGATGCATACCCCGGCCTTTCAGTAATTTTATAAGGCAGCAAGTATTTTCTTTAGTCCAGGCTTTTGTATGACTCACGTTTTTGCCTGTGCCTAATGAAATAGTACAATCCACCAATGACAAGGATAACACCGGCAACACAACCAATGCAAATGCCCACTATCATGCCAGTATTGTCAACTTGGGCTTGAGTTGTACCTGGTGGTTTAACAGTCGGTTGGTCCTCAATACAGACTTCCACTGCAAAATATAAGAAGGATTATTGTTGGTAGCTTGCAACATTTCAAGTACATTTTTCTTATAGTAACGTCAACTATGTTTAAAAAAGTCTCGTCATCAATCACAGAAATATCAATGAGATACAAAAGTTAGACAGCTAGCCAGTCTACCAACTAGCCGGCCTGAGGATTGCCGGCGGCCAGTGGGCAGGCCAGTCAGCCAAACCATTAGCCCACAAGCCGCCCACCCATCCATCCAGCCTCCCCGTACAGTCATAAGTCTTGCACAGAAAACCGAAAGAGACAAAGCAAGCTATAGTCATTTACCATCGCCAAAGCCACCCTTTTCGGCAGACTGATCGGCATACGGTTGATACATGATTTCCTTGATAGTAATCCCAACTGAGTCGATTTCTATTTGCCGCTTATTACACTTGAAAGTCTTGCCAGTATCTGCTCGAACATTCAAGATCTCAGGGTCCTGGAGTTGAACTTCGTCTATTTGACCTTCAGGATAGAATGTAATAGGAAAAAAGATCAAATGTGAATTCCCATTAGTGTATTTCACTGAATGAAATTTTTACACCGACGACAAAGTTAAAAATTTATGTGCACGAGTCGTATGAATATGAAGTAAGGTTTGCCCCTGTAATTCCCAATTTTGATCTGGTTTGTTATATTCCCATTTATCTAATACCTAAACAATGTTTCCTTATTTTGAAAAGTGTAAATCTTCATTATGACGCTGGAGCTTGAGGTTATGCCCTCTGGAAATAATGTAGGTTTCATTTTGCTTTTTTTACGACTTCAACATTATAAGCTATCAAACTGAATTACGAATGAATTACAATATACGAATTCGCTTTTTCCAAAAAAGCAACTGGCACTCTGACCAATTCATGAGGCGTAATATCTACAAAATACAACTAATTATAATGTTCTAAGCATTGGGTGCGAAGAAATACAACGTAACAATCACGAATTACAGCGTAGTCAAAATGAAACATAGCGATGCCAACTTTTGACGAAGCTGAAGTGTCTTTCCATTTAATATATTCAAAGGAAAATTCACTTTAAAAGTAACATATCCAGGGTGCAGAGTAGCAGATTGCAGCGAAATAGAGAATTTACCAGTTAGAATGACGGCAAGGAGATTATAAAATCTAAATTTGGAAGATGAGAATAATTCGTGAATGCAAACTCGGGGCGATAAAAGGGGATGATGATGTCGTTGAATACCGGTACTGTGTTACAACATGATCGTTGAATACCGGTACTATGTTACAACATGATCGTTGAATACCGGTACTGTGTTACAACATATTTCTAAGTCCAGAATTATACTTCACGTACTGGCGCTCCCTTGGCCTAATTTAGTAATGATACCAATACAATTGAGTTTTGACTGGGGCAAACATAAAATAATACTTTCTCACCCATTTTATCAGCATCAAGAAAAAATGGTTCTTCAAACTTCCATTGAAAGGTGACTGAGGTCATCTCGTACATCTGGTCCTCAACGTCAAAGTCCAGTCGGAGGTACCAGTCGTTGAACTCCGGATATGTGACAGTAAAGTACCGAGCATTGTCAGTACAGTTTCCCATAGGAACCGAATTATCAGGGAAAACAAGTGATTTTTCATCTGTCTGTGTAAAAGGGATACCATGCACACGTGAGCAACACAACTTTAAAAACATATACGTGTGAAATAAAGACCCGAAGTAATAAGCAACTCGTTATGTATCCGCAATAAAACATGAATAAAATGTAAAGGATATTACCGGAAATGACAGTAAATGCTCGGTGAGGTTGAGGAGAAAGGTTCCCCCACTTTTGACCAGGGGACTGGCCATTTGATACCCCCAACACGCATACACATACACTTTGTGATGGTGAGAAACAAAAATAAGGAGTTTTAGGGTGTTATTATTTAAGTTCCACTATCCAACAGCCAAACTAAAAGCATTGAAAACTGGAGAACAAACGGTGCCGAAACGTATGACACACCACTTTGATGTAAAGTTAAACCACAAACATAATTACATAATGTGGTTCAAGTCCCCCCCACTTCCCTCAATTGACAAATTTCCATGGCATTAACTTGTTAATTTTTTTTGGGGGGGGGGATAGGGGACATCTCCCATTCCTCTTCTCATTGGGAAGGACATACATCCTTTTTAACCGACAACAGACGGCGGTTTGTGATGATGATTTCGTTTGCCCTGTGATATTTTTTTAAAATTCCGTAATTGTGATCTGATGAACACATACCTTTCCTTCTGTGTTGTTGTATGTGATGCTAATCTCGAGATAAAATTGCATCAGTATGCATGTTCCATTTGTACCGTTCACTGCATATCTGTAGTGATTAACGAAAGTATAGGTAAGAAGCATGACAGACACAGACGAAATTGGCTTGTACACCTTTACCTTTTTAAGACAAAGCTTACAATGCTGTTTAATAATCAAAACAATGACAAAAACCTGGGTTCGCTGAAATTTTTTGAATAAATTCAAACATACCAAAAAAACAAACAAACAAACAAACAAACAAACAAACAAACACCCCAACACCCCAAACAAACAAACAAACAAACAAACAA